ACTTTCGCATCATTAATTATGAATTTTAAGATGATTTGTACAGCAAGTGAACAGTATTCAAAAATAGTTAAATAAAATAACAAAAGCTGACACTTAAAAAAACGATGACAAGTGACTGGTCTCTTACATATATGAAAACGAGATAAATAGGGAGGAATGGTTTATCATCGAATACTAGTTCAAATTTAACGAAACATTTTCACAAATTACCATCATATACAAAGCCTTGACTCACTAAGTGAATTAGATTGCGCAGAGATAAATTGGTGCTCCTATGCAGAAGTACCTTAAAGTCTACATTTCATAAATCGTGTCATGTAGTTTGCTTCCACTGCTACATATCGTCCAGAAGACACTCGTGTGATCAGATATGTCGAGATGATTGCCATGATTTCCGAATTCTTGGTTTGATATTTTTGTCCATGAATCATATTGGGTATCCATTTTGGATGAAGATTTCTCTTAGAATATCTAATTCAGTTTCCAGAACGTCGGATGCGGGTGGCAAGTGATTTAATTAAGTTCCGCTTTTGTTGAATGGGTACCCAGCTATAGAAGCTTGTTAGTTGACGATTCCACGTAGGTTTTCTGTGAATCGATCTCCTTAGGCTCCCATCAGTTCTTCTTGTTAGTCACACATCAAGAAACGGAATTTTTGTCTCGTTTTCCATTTCAAGAGTGACTTCTTTCGATGAAAGCGAAAATTAGGATGGGGACGTAAAATGTTCGTATAATGTACGAAAATAGAAAGGCTGCCCATATAGCCGCTGAAATGAGGAGGTACAGAATAGAAGTGTTGGGAATCTGCGAAAGCAGATGGAACGGATGTGGAAGGTACCCAATACCTACTGGAGAGACAGTAATCTATTCCGGCCACCTAGAGGACAACCATGAGCACACCGAGGGAGTGGCCATCATGATGTCACCAACAGCAACCAAAGCTCTCATCTCATGCAGTGGGAACCAATCTCCTCCAGGATAATGACAGCCAGGTTCAATTCAAAAGGAAGGAAGGTTACAATCATTCAATGCTATGCACCTACAAACGCCTCAGAACAAGAGAAAAAGGAGGCGTTCTACAGACAACTACAAACAATAATGGACAACGTCCCAAATGGGGATATCAAAATCTTGATAGGTGATATGAATAAGAATCTGAGAGGAGACAATACAGGAAGAGAACTCACCATCGGTCGTGAAGCCCTCGGTGAAATGAACGACAATGGTGAACTCTTCTCAGAGTTCTACGCCTTCAATGATTTGGTGATTGGTGGATTTCACCAGATGGACACACCAAAAACCAGATAGACTTTATTTCAACCTCAAGAAAGTGGAGACGGAGCCTACTGGACACAAAGTCGAGGAGAGGAACAGATGTGGGTTCAGACCACTATTTAGTACAAAGGACTTTCAAGGTGAAACTAAATGCCTCGAGGATAGCTAGGGATAGGCCACAATGCAAGTTCAACACTCAATTACTGAAGGACACAACCACAAAAGACACCTTCACTGCAACTGTCAGAGCAAAGCAGGAAACACTACGCGACATCACTGAAGAATCATGCGTGGAAGAACATTGGAAGTCTCTGAAGGCGATTCTCAACGAAACGTGTTCAACGGTTCTAGGAAGAAAGAAGAGACAAGACAAGGAATGGCTCTCAACGGACACTTGGAAATTAATAGAAGAGAGGAGAATGGTGAAAGAGAAAATGATTCAATGCAAGGACGGACAGGAGAAGGAGACGATGAGCTCAACTTACAAAGCATTGGACAAAGAAGTGAAGAAGAGTTCTAGGAAGGACAAAAGGCGATTCTACGACAATCTAGCTACTGAAGCTGAAAAGGCAGCAGGCAAAAGGGACCTGAGGACACTATATCAGATAACCAAATCTCTATCCGGGAAGAGATCAACACAAGCGAAACCTATAAAAGACAGCCAAGGGAACCCAATTACCAAGGAAGAAAGACAGATTAAACAATTGGCGGATCACTTCAAAGGACTCTTGAACCGACCATCACCTGTAACCCGTCCAGAAATACCAACAACAGCACGTACACAACTGCAAGTTGACACCAATCCTCCAACGAGAGCTGAAGTCTTGAACGCAATCAAACTTCTGAAAGCTGGAAAAACAGCCGGACCAGGTGGAATACCCCCTGAAGCACTAAAAGTGGACCCAGAAACGACAGCAGACATGCTGACTCCATTATTGCAAAAGGTGTGGAAGGAGGGAAAGGTGCCTACTGACTGGAGGAAAGGTTACCTCGTGAAACTACCAAAGAAGGGCGACTTACGCCTCACTCTGCAAGAACTGGCGAGGAATCATGCTCCTGTAGACACCAAGTAAAATCCTGAGTCATATCATTCTGGAAAGAATGAAAGACGCACTGGATACAGAATTCCGACCAGAACAAGCTGGATTCAGGAAAGGTGAATCATGTTCTGACCAAATTTCAACTCTACGCATCATCATCGAACAAAGCATAGAATGGCAATCAAACCTCTACCTCAACTTTATAGACTTCGAGAAGGCCTTCGACAGCGTTGATCCTGAAGTAATTTGGAAATTATTCGAGTACTATGGCGTACCCCAAATATTCATCAACCTTATTCAACAGCTGTACGACAACGGCACCTGCCAAGTGATCCACAACGGAAGACTCAGCGAGACGTTTAGAGTAAACACAGGAGTCAGACAAGGGTTCTTACTATCACCAATGATATTCCTAATTGTGGTGGACTGGATTATGCGTCAGACAGTGGGAAACGAGAAGACAGGAATATCCTGGACTGACGTGAAGAACCTAGAAGACCTGGATTTCGCGCGCGGATGATTTATGTTTGATGTCACACACAATCGAAGACTTACAAGCAAAAACCGACAAACTGGTCGAAGAAGCAGCCGGCGAAGACAGGACTCCAGGTAAACATAGACAAGACGGAGGTTATGAAAATAACCAACCAACAACAGCTGCAACATCCAGCGCCAATCACCATCAACGGGAGGGATTTGAAAGAGGTTACTTCATCCACTTGTCTAAGGAGCATCCTAACGTCTTAACGAAACAGCTGTCCAGTACTGCCAGGTTTTCCAATGGTTCTCTGACTAATGTCAGCTCATGATGAAATCCTGAAACCAACCGAATCCCTACAAACCAACACTTAGATAAATGAGTGTTCTGATACTGTTGAACTTATAAGTTATCTTATAGGTGGATTAGTAATAATAATAACTTTATTCCAAAAAATAATTATCGAGATCAGAATTTTCAGCATTAAACACATTGTATCAATTTGTCTCCTTTCACAAATAAGCAGATACATAAAACAGGAAGAATAATAAAGCTCAAACAACTGAAGTTAATAGAAAAGTAATATATATAATAATAATGCTGGTAATAAGTTGTTTATTTGCATATTAATAGGCAGGTTGACAAGCTCTTTTCGGACATTTATCCATTTACGCAACACCAGTGCTAATTATGGTACGGTTGATTTTCTATATTTAACAGTACGAGCACGTATCTTTGTGAAATTTCTTCTGGTTTTACCCAAAGAGATGCAAGAAGAAAGTTGAGAATAGACAATTTTTAGTATCTGATAAGACGACTTTAGTCAACTGCTTACGAGAATTAAAATGTCTATCAATAACAATGTCACTAACTTAATATAATCATTTTTGAAAAGTCCAGAGAAGAGTAAGGGGGGATAATAAAGAATAATAGGTAGAATGCATGAACTGATAAATTACTAAGTGTTAGTTTGCAAGGGTTTAATTGGCTACAGGTTTGATCACAAGCTGGCATCTGTTAGAGAACCCCTGAAAAAACAGCGGGCACAAGATAGCTATTTTGCCCAATCTTGGAACCCTTCGACACTACACATCCACCAGGGTTCATACTCGAAACCGTCTGGTTGCAAGTCAAGATCGTCGACCATTCAGCCACGGGGATCTGATGCAATGGTTCATAAATTACAACTTCTGCCAATTCATGACATATACCGTAACCGCTAGCCAGTGTCATCGGTGAGTGACTGTTCTCTTACTTGACATGGTGGACTCCACTGGCCACGACTCCTTACTAGAACTCCAGGTAACTTCCGATATAGAGCCAGTCGCTAGTTGGTGAATTATTAAATTATAAAAGAAGGGTTTGAGTTAGGCCAGAAAGTCTCAACTTCTTTATGTAGTAAGTCACACGAAAAATTTCCTTAGAGATCAGCAAGATATTAGACGACCAACAAAGATCAGAATAGGAACGGATACCGAGATAAGTAATATTCAATTTATTTTCTACCATGGTACCATTAATACTACGAGAATCACGGGACTGGATCGGTTCATGTGAGTCTTCTTTACGCCTGAAACCAAAATTAAAAGTCCGACATTTACAGGGATTCAGTTTAAGACCATTTGAATGAAGCAATTGCTTAACCTCAAATAGGAAGTCAGCACAATCTATTACAGGAACTGCGAGATCATCAGCATAAGGTTCAATATCAAAATGAGTAATTTTTCGTACAACTTTTCAAAAATGCCTAATTGTGAATCTTGATCACCCTTAAAAGCTCAAACGAGGATATAGAATTATAGTATAGTTCTACACTACGCTGCATACCACATAGTCATCAGAAGGGCAATACAACTAATGAGACAATCAAAGTCAGTCAGTGATGTTTTGCACGATCATTCAACTGAGGTGTGTAACCTTTTATGACAGTCGGTCCTACTTACAGGTGAACAATATTTTGATGTTATCAGTATTTAAACGCTTGCAGCATTTATCCAGGAACAGCTTCCAGTCTCTGCGTGAAACAAAATCAGAAGCAGTGCTACAAAATTAACTTCTACCTAGTCAAGTAAGCAATTACACACTAAATTTATACAAACTGTGTTACTAAAATTTTTACCGCTTTTGGTAACCTTTATTACTGAAGTAAAAAACAATGAAAATCTGATGCAAACTGGAAATACAAGTATTGTGGAACAAACACCTACCTGTAAAAATCCGAAAATACCATTTTCGCGATAAATGGCTTGCACAGCCATAGGAAACCATGTATAATGAACTTCACCGCCAATAAGAGCTGCAATTTGCCTTACAGTAATAACTAGATGCGTAATTTTTTGGTAAAAACAAAAAATAAACCACAAACAGTAATTATGAAATACACCTTATATAACAATAATTAAAAACCAGCAACAGGAGTGTAAAACAAACAATCAGACCTGTCGAGTAACAAGTGACGGAATGATGGATCAAGTAAATTCCCATAATAGCATGTACATTGAAGGGAAGTATGTAGAATATTGAGCAAGAAGTAACACAAAAAAGAAAAACTGGTCTCATTTCGTTAGATGATTCCTTGAAGTACCTCGAATTTTTATATGACTGTGACACCTAAATATTTTTGGTGAAATGAAAACACGTTTGTGATCCTATAAATAACAAACCGTCTATAAAATAATACTATCTTACTGAAGAGCTTTTGATAAGTTTACCACACACCTGACAGAACAATTAAAATAATAACCTTAGCAGTACTACTGAAAATAAAATGACATAACGTAAAAATGTACGTACTCTGAACTAATTAGATGTTTTATTAATAACCTACAATTCAATAATTCATCATAAATAAATGTAGAAAGAGAACTAGGGGGAGGAGAAAGGGGAAGATTGTAAGTGAAAACTGTATGATAAACATATCTTCTAGTAACTAATTTGATCAATTCACATACGAAAATCAGTTCGTAAAACTAAGGTCTAAAAACATGCGTATCCCACCTTTACCCAGCCGGCAACAGCTTCAAAACCCACTCCACCTACCAAGCTTTGAACAATTATGCAGCATCATAAGCCTTTAAAAACAACGAATTTCCTGACAGCCAGGTTGTTTAGATGAACGACACTGATTAGTGAATCCTATTATAACAGTTTTTCCAACTTTCGTCACCATTTTAATAAACACATAATCGTTTTTCTGTCGGTTTCTACAACTTAAAAATTTGCACTATCAGTCAGTACTTTCCTTGGGAAACAACTGGGAGGAGACCACCCTTCACTGGGTCCGTCTACCCACCGGTAACAGTAGTTGGTGCATGCCTTCTACTGTAACCTTTTAAAGGGGAGGATATATATATATATATCTTGGAAATAGACGTGTCTCTTCTGGTTTTGAACCTGCTTCGGTCTGGGCGCCCTGGCAGTATCTCAGCCCGCACACAATGAATTAAAGCAACGAACTCTCACTGAAACTCAACGCGCGCTAGTAAAAATGATTTCAAGCAATAATGATCCCTCAAGCAACTCATTTCCTTCCTACCTTACTTTTATTTTTATACATAGTTTCCTGTATTTTACCTTTGCTAACCTTGGCTTTTTAACCTTCGACAGCCTTTCGCCTTTGTCGAGATTCCCAGCCTATCCGTGTCGTTTCGAGATGTTAGTGAGTAGTCCTCAAAATGGTTGTTCCCAATGTGACATCTAACACAGATATCCTGAAACCGCGTGCCGCGTTCAAGCTGGCTACCTACAATGTTCGGACGCTGATGCAAATCGGACAACAGGCAGGGTTGGCAAGAACTTTGGAAAGCCTCGCTATCGATGTCTGCTGCATTTCGGAGACCCGCATTCAAGATCCCAGTGAAGTGCTTCGACTATCCTCTCCATCTGGAAGTTCTAGTAGTATGTACCACCTGCGCTTATCCGGGGACCCTGTGGCGTCGGCATCCGGCGTAGCTGGTGTCGGTGTCGCACTGAGCGCTAGAGCCGAAGCTGCACTGCTCGACTGGATTCCCATTAACAGTCGTTTATGTGCTGTGAGGCTGGAAGGTTATACGAAAGTAAGGAGTAGTAGGCCAGATAGGCGGTGTCTATTTGTTGTCTCTGCCTATGCACCGACGGATTGCAGCCCGGATGCAATGAAGGATGAGTTTTACTACCAACTGAGCGATCTCTTGAAACAGGCGGGTCGGAGGGATATCGTAGTGCTGGCTGGGGACTTGAATGCACAGGTCGGGCGTCTAAGCTCAGAGGAGAATCGTCTAGGTGGTCAGTGGGGACTACATGGTCGCAGGTCAGATAATGGGGACCGTCTTCTGCAGCTTTGCGCGGATCACAACCTATTTCTAGCCAGCACCAACTTCCGGCACAGCCATCGCCGTAGCGCTACCTGGCGTCCTCCCTCTGCGAAGCAAGCTTGGACTCAGATTGATCATATTGCGGTCAGTTTCCGGTGGCGAGGATGCATACAAGACTGTCGCTCCTTCTGGAGCACATGCCTGGACTCCGATCATGCGTTAGTGTGTGCCAAGTTCGTCTTGCGATTTGGTGGGGTTCGTAAAAGCCGTCGTCTAAGCGTTGATGTGAGCAAACTAGTAGCACCTGCTACTTCTTTGAAATATCAGAATGAGTTAAAAACAATGCTTGCCAGCAACCCCCAAGTAGTATAGATGAACATTGGCTTCATGTGCAAGGTGCCATGCAAAAGGCGAGTGTAGCCGCTTGCGGCTTGAAAGAATGCTCCGCTAACAACCACTGGGTTTCTGCGAGTTCCTTGCAACTCATGGATGAACGCCGGTCCATTCCGGCTGGCAGCGAATACAACAATCAGCGAAAGGCGCTCACGCGCAAGATTAGACAGTGTTTACGTAAGGACCGCGAAGCCTGGTGGTCAGAACGTGCGTGTGAGATGGAGTCAGCTGCTGCATCTGGCAACAGTCGGAAGCTGTTCCAACTCATACGAGCCACCGGCAGCAAGAAACAAGGTGTCAGCGAGACGGTCTGTGAGGCAGATGGCACTCCAATTACCAGCCTGAAAAGACGCCTGGAACGCTGGGCAGAGCACTTCGGGAAGCAGTTCAGCTGGCCACCAGCTTCAGTGTCTACTATCATTAGCCCGAGTGCTCCTTGGTCGGTTAGTACCGACCCACCCACCGAAGCGGAGGTCCGTAAGGAACTCCAAGTTCTGAAACGCCATAAGGCGCCCGGCCCAGACAAATTACCCCCGGCTCTTTTTAAAGATGGTGGCGAGACTCTCACAATGGCTCTAACTGGGTTGTTCAGGAAGGTGTGGGAGACAGAGAGTGTACCATCAATGTGGAACGAAGCCATTATCGTCCCCATCTTTAAAAAGGGTCGACGTAATTCGTGTGACAATCATAGGGGTATCAGTCTGTTACCAGTCGCGTCTAAAATATTGGCTGCTGTCTTGCTTCGCAGACTGTGCAAAATACGTGAAGGATTGATTCGCGAAGAGCAGGCTGGGTTTCGTTCAGGTCGTGGATGCATTGATCATGTGTTCACCCTTCGTCAGTTGTTGGAACACCGCCACACGTATTGCAGGCCAACGATCGTTGTGTTTCTTGATATTAGGGCTGCCTTCGATTCGTTGGACAGAACTGTGCTCTGGAACTGTCTGTTAGAGAGAGGTGTACCTGAGAAATTTGTTAACATCTTGAAAGCCCTATACAGAAACACCTCAGGTAGAGTGAGGGCATACAACCAACTATCACCACTGTTCCCAACCAACAGTGGGGTTAGACAGGGTTGCCCAATCTCTCCATTTCTCTTTAACTTTGCCATCGATGACATTCTGGAGTCAGCTCTGAAGGATGTGCGTGAAGGTGGTGTAGATCTGCTACCTGGAGATAGACTTTTCGACCTCGAGTATGCAGACGATATCGTCTTACTGTGCGATAGCATGCAGGCTGCCCAAATCGCACTTAATCAGTTGGCGATCAGTGTCTGTAAGTATGGTATGTGCTTTGCGCCGTCTAAGTGCAAAGTACTGTTACAAGATTGGCAGGAGCCTGTACCTGCACTCACTCTTGCTTGAAGTTGTTGATAAGTTTGTGTACCTGGGTAGTTGTGTGAGTGCTGGCGGAGGGGTGACGGATGAGATTTCCAACCGTATAATGAAGGCTAGGGTGGCATACATCAACTTGAGCCACCTCTGGCGCCGTCGCGACGTTAGCCTGGCTGTCAAAGGTCGGGTATACAATGCTTCGGTGCGGGCTGCGCTGCTCTACGCCTGTGAAACCTGGCCTCTCCGAGCTGAGGATGTGCGGCGACTCTGCGTGTTCGATCACCGCTGTCTCCGCAGGATTGCTTGCGTTCGATGGCATCATCGCGTGAGTAATTCTGAGGTTCGGCGGCGTGTGTTTGAACACAGTGGAGATCACCATTCATTGAATGTCGTCATCTGGAAACACCGGCTCCGGTGGCTTGGACATGTGCTGAGAATGTCACCCCAGAGGCTTCCGTACAGGTCTCTGTTCGCTAGCCCTGGGACGGGATGGAAAAGGCGGAGGGTTGGTCAGTCCATGACGTGGCGTCGTGGGATGAAGGATTTTTGTGCTAGATTAGCATCGGTTGGTGTGTCACGACTCCCTGGTTGGGGTCCGAGAGATAGCTCAAATCGATGGCTCGAAACGTTATCGGATATGGCCAAGAATCGTAATCAATGGCGAATGTGTTGCGATTTCCTTCTTTCTTCCCTTCCCGATGATAGTTAACGAACACTGTTTGAACTTGTTAAGCATGACTGTTTTCCTTCCAGATGAAGTTCTTTATCCGTTCTCTACTTATAATATTTTTTTCTTTTCCTTCTTTTGATCTATGTTGTTTTATTATTATTGTGTGGCGCATTCTTCTTGGTGCCATACTGTACCAAGATTTTCATGCGTTTAAATAAACAAATAAATAAATAATAAATGCATTATTCATCCTAATTAGTTATCCATATAGCATATTCAACTAGAAATTTTACTTGAATAAATGCAATTTAAATTTATCTGATTTATACATTTTCCAAATTTAGAGAAAAAATGCGATCTTATGAATACAAAACCCAAGGTTGATTTGGTTTCTGATAACCTAAAAAAGATTTTAGACTTTGTTGTAAGAAAGTTCTTAAGTTAGTAATTAAAGAAATATTCCTCCAAACAACACAGACAACTGTCATCCAACGCATCCAATATTATATTATTTTACTTTTCAGTTTGATTTAAAACTTTCCTATGTGAGTTCACAGTGGATTCAAGTTTCATGAGTATTGACACAGATTTCCCATCAACTTTCTAAGTGTACCACTTTATGCTAGTTGTTTATTTCGACTAGTGAGTTATCGGTGTATTCTAAACCATTCAGATTTACCAACCTCATGTACATATATATACACGTTTATTTTTTGCTGCAAAAAAGATGTATTTGTTATTCTAATAAGTGATTTAATAAAAATTAAAATAGAGCGAAAATATTTATTCAGACATCCATAAAAAACAAAATAATTGAGCAAAGAATATCCTTTCTGATAATTTCCTCTTCTGGCTCTACAATTATATATATTGCATGGGGTATTTCACCATGAGATGACATCAGTTAGAGAACCACTGGGAAACCTGGGAGTATTGGACAGCTGTTGAAGATGAGGCAGTAACTCATCGAAGAAGACATTGCGAAGTGGTCGCGCTATGTCATGAATTGGAAAAAGTTATAATTCATGGGTCATTAGATCGGGTTCCAGTGGCTCAATGGTCTACGAGCGCGCCTTGTAACCAGAAGGTCCTGGGTTCGAACCCTGGTGGGTGCGTACTAATGGAGAGTCCCAAACTAGGACGAATCAGCTGTCCAGTAATCCCAGGTTTTCCAGTGGTTCTCTAACTGATGTCAGCTCATGGCGAAATCCTCCATACAATCGAACAAAATCCCTACAAAACCAATACTTGGAAATTATATTTTTATATACATAGAATATTCTAGAATAGTAGTCAATAACAATGTTAGTGTTTTTTAAATAATATCGATTTGTAAAGTAAGATCAATGGAATTACAGTTCATTAAAGATGCTTAAATTATAATAATAATAATAATAATAATATACTGGAAAATAGAATATCAACTAAAATTGAGGAAATTTCTACAAAAAATTGAGGATCGTTCGAACCTAGATGAACAAGGTAAAGACAATGTCTGAACTAGCTTCTTTTGGACACATAAATTAGACTTCTTAATGTGGATCCTAACGGCCTCAGCAATATTTAATAAACGAACTCTTAAGGCGAAGTTAGGATTTGTTGGTATGCGGTAAATGACCCTGAAAGCCTGGTTACCACCAATCTTGTGTTCTCTATCCACAAGATGAGATAGAATAGCGTTATGAATAGATTTTATTTGTCCTTTACTCAACCACACAGGTTGATGTTCGGAAATTCGACGAGAAACACGCCTGATTGTGTGACCTATGTAACTGGCTCCACAGGAGCAGTTATATTGGCAGATACACATGAAAGAGGCCAAACTTGGCAGTTTATTTTTTACTCCCGAACGCAAAATATGGGGTGATTTTGAAGACAGCTCAATTCGGCAGCAGGAAATGCTCTTTTTACCACATTACTAAGGCTCCATTATGACAAAGATTTTATTTCGATAAATCACAGTGTTATACAGTAATATTAATTGATGACGTTTCGAGCAGAAACTATTGCTCATAATTATATCAAGTCATCAGTTAATATTACTGTATGACACCGCGTGATTTATCGAAATAAAATCTTATCCATAATGGAGTTAAACTCTACCACAGTGCCCAAGTTTTATACTTATATCAATAATGGATCTCTAAGGCGTTGTGTCAGTATCTCGCTGATGTTGTCCCCGAGGAACTGAATTTGTAAGAATAAAGACTTTTTAGGAACTGTTGGAGCTGGGTGCTTCGGTGCCTGGCGTCAGACTTGCTCTGACCAATCGGAGGGCACGTCTGGTGCCAGCAGCCACGGTAACACCAGCTCCTATAAAAAATAGTGCGTCGGCGGCACAGCGGTTAGGACGCTCGCCGACCATGTACATGGTCCGGGATTCGATCCCCGACCGACGCATGCCTTTACCTCGCTAAGCCAGTAGTGACACTGGTAAAGAGGAAAGGTTGGGCATGAGGCTAGCTACCCCATCCTGTATAATTAAACACTGCTACAGAAACTTCACGCCACTAGCTTGAGGCCCTATGTTCCACTGGGAACGTGAAGGAAAAAGAAAAGGAACTGTTGGTACCTTGGGCCTCCAAAGCCTCAGGATGGTCGGGGGTGGGTGCCTTGCGCTGCGGGTTGGCCACCCCTCCGCACACCTCTTGAAATGCTCCCATATGACCGGGCGTCTTACATAGCCTCTCCTGAGGAAGTCTTACTCACTGCCTTCACGTGGCGGAGGTGTTTCTCACCAAAGTGAGAGGGCGAAAGCGGATGCCCGGCGCTCTCCACCGGGTTGACTGTCCATTGGATGACAGTCTAGGGGAGATGGCTAAACCCTGATTCCAAACCTCCAACGACTGGCGTATGAAGCTCACTGGAGCTCACCGGCAGACGTATGGACAAAGGGCTTGTTGGATGTCCTGGATGTCTGGCCCCATTCAAAAAGGCGTATGAACCGAACTCCGGTCACCGGCTGCCAATGGATAGTGGACTCCTTACTCCACTCCTACTGCCTTGTAGGTCACACTTGGCTGTGTAAAGGCTAGAGCTGCACTCTCAAACAAAAGGCCTAGCGATGCTGGGGACATCACTCGTACCAAATTCCCATGAAACTTCATGAACTCTCTTACAAATTGCCGCGCCTGGGCAGAGATTCGAGACGTTCATGAAGCCGGCTCATCCTCCCGTAGGAGATAACCGAAGTAAAGTAAAGTAAGTAAGTACCTTGGGCTGCTTTGATTTTAGATCCACATTCTTATCAATGAAGTTTTCTGGATAATCATTCTCACTCAGCGACCGTTTAATATTATTAAGTTCCTCATCAAGACATGCATCCGAGCAAATTGCTATTGCTCTGTGAACGAAGCACTTTAACAGAATGCGTTTGCATTTCAACGGCGCGAAACTGAAAAAATGAGTATGCTGACTAGTTGATGTAGGTTCTCTATGTACATTTCTTCTTGCTCAGGCCGTTGGGATCCACATTAAGAAGTCTAATTTATGTGTCCAAAAGAAGCTAGTTCAGACATTGTCTTTACCTTGTTCATCTAGGTTCGAACGATCCTCAATTTTTTGTAGAAATTTCCTCAATTTTAGTTGATATTCTATTTTCCAGTATATTATTATTATTATTATTATTATTATTATAATTTAAGCATCTTTAATGAACTGTAATTCCATTGATCTTACTTTACAAATCGATATTATTTAAAAAACACTAATATTGTTATTTATTATTACTTTTTTTATTTTTGATTACAGCTTGATTCCACACTGTATTTTTAGTACAAGTATGGAATTTTCAGCATGGATATCGGTAGCCCAAATTTTGCAGGCCGACCATAGATATCAGGTGTGCGTCGGCAGGGGATCGAACCTCGGACCATGTGCATGGTCGGCGAGAGTCCTAACCACTGTGCCACCGACGCACACTACTACTACTAATATTCTAGAATATTCTATGTATATAAACATATATAATTGTAGAGCCAGAAGATGAAGTTATCGGAAAGGATATTCTTTGCTCAATTTTTTTGTTTTTTATAAAAATGAAAATATTAAATTTAGAAAACAGAAAGATTGAGCGAAGAAATATTCACTTTTCAATTAGATCCTCATCTCTGGCTCTACTCTAATATATATAGCATTTTAATTACAATACAACAGTTTGCCAATCAAGTGGCGATAAGTTTGTTAACAATAATTACACAGTGTCAGAATGTCAATGGGTTAATAGTTAACGAAGAATAAATTAATTTTACAAGGATAACACGTAAATTAAAGATGAAGTGGTCAAAATAAATAACAACCACACCTATTTTATTTTCGAGAAATAAGGATAAACTACCTAAATTCGCCTCCTCTATGTGTATCTACCAGTTTGACTGCAGCTGCGGAGCCAGCTACATTGGGCGTACAATTAGGCAAGTTCATCGTCGTATTTCCGAACATCATCCAACGTGGTTAAGTAAGGAGCAAAAAAGATCTATTCGTAGCTCTATTTTAGCCCATTTCGTTGATACTGAGCATAAGATTGATGTTAATACAGCATTTAAAGTTATCTATCGCATTCCGACTTATCTTAATTTTGCTCTGCGAGTTCGTCTTCTACAGACGGCTGAGGCGATTGCCATTCACCTGAAGAAGCCAAGCCTATGTGTACAGAAAAAAATTGTACAGCCACTTTCCCTACCTTGGCCATCGTCACAAGAATGGATAAACAGGACTGCGTCGCCCCCTCCCCCTAAATCTATAAAATTATATTTATCTAAATTATTTATTTTATTTTGACCACTTCATCTTTAATTTACGTGTTATCCTTGTAAAATTAATTTATTCTTCGTTAACTATTAACCCATTGACATTCTGACACTGTGTAATTATTGTTAACAAACTTATCGCCACTTGATTGGCAAACTGTTGTATTGTAATTAAAATGCTACATATATTAGAGTAGAGCCAGAGATGAGGATCTAATTGAAAAGTGAATATTTCTTCGCTCAATCTTTCTGTTTTCTAAATGTCTAAATGGGGATTTTTTTTTTACTGAAATATTAAATTTACCTATCCTTATTTTACCGATTACTGAAGTTCATTTGTTTGAGCCCTATCATCAGGGATGTTTTCATTTCAACCGAAATTGTTACCCCATGGTTACACTAATACAATACTAATACAATTCGAGACAGTCCGACCAACAAGGTTAGTTCGGTTTAACACACATGTATAGTGATACTAGCAAGATTGGAACCAACTTGACAAAATAAAAACATTAATGCAGTCTCACCATAAAACGGATGACTGAATAATACCTCCCAAAATTTAAGCAGTAAAATCTCTGAAAATCTTTCAAAGAAAACTGATGTTGGTGACTCTTCCAACAACCGTTCTGCTTGAAATCCTGTGGAAGCTTGACTTTGTGTAGCACAGATCCTATTCCCTTTGTTGGCCAAACTATTTTCGGATCGTATCCATATCATAGTTCGACGTCTAAACGCTGCACGAAAAACTTCAATAGTAAAGTCGTGAGCAGCATTTGCAAAAAATCCTGCTGTCAGCACTTTCCACACACCTATCGTTTTCATCAGGTGATATACATACTTGAAAAAGTTGGGATAAACATCTATAGGAAACGACCATCCAAGTAGTGCTAAAGGGGAATAAAACTGAATTGGAGCAAGCGGTTCATAGCCTAATTTTATGAGTGTCCAAGCAACACGAAAAGGATTTGTTAATTGTCGCAGGAAATAAATTTCAATGCCAACAACAGGTTCTGCAACGTAAGACACAACTGTAGAAGACTCATCCTGGGAGGAAAACCCATCAATATCGCTATCAATCATTAAAACCTAGAAGAAAATGTGCATTATAAGAATAAGAAAAAATGAATGTAACGAAAAAAGTTATCAAAATCATAAACATGTCATCAAGAGTCACTATCCATTGATTAAAAACATCCTGAGAACCTAGCTAGACCAAGTATCTACTGCTACTTCGACGTATTAGAACTCGGTTGCCTGGAGCAGACCTTTCAAGTTGTAGGCTATGAACCGCTAAATCTTTATCTGAGGGCTGATGATACTATGCAGCTGTCCAGGCTGAAGCAGGTGGAGTGGAATTCAAACCCAACAACAGCCAGATGAAAGTGAAACGACTGAGTCAAAAAGCCAAATCTTTACACATGAATTAATAAAAATCCTAAAATGTGTGGTAATAATGAGAACAAGTAGAGTTCATAAAGGACAAGTGAAAAGACTAGTTAAGTTTTAGGACCGGACGATGATATATTAATCGAAGCTTTGCACTTCGACAGATGTCGTGATGTAGACATACTAACGTCTAACGCTTATTACACTTTTTGACCTGAAGGTACTGTTCGACTCTATCGGTCAAGAAGTGTGGTCAGTCATGACTGTGAATGGAGGCTGAAGAAAACATATTGTGCTCATCAAAGAACTTATAACCGTTTAATAGCCTTATGGAGAATTATCCTCTAAATTGCAGAAACTAAATGTTTGCCAAAACTTCCCACTCTGATCTTTATCGAATTTTATCACAGACAAACTGATGCTTTCGACTGACTAAGTTTCAGCAAAAACTTTGCACGGAAATGCAGAAGTACTATTATAAGCGGCATTGTGAGGAAGAAAGATAAGTAAGATAGAAATCACTAGGGTTTAATGGATACTGGAGATCACAAAGAGTGAATGCATCTGCTCCAATGAGAGCGATTTTGAGCCATCTGATTGACTGGTTTCAACATAGAACTTTGCACCGATGTGCAGCAGCTCTAGTCGCCAAACTTCATGTAGCATACAAAACAAGAGAAAAAAAGTAAAAAATGCAAAATAGAAACAGTAAACAGAGATATGAAGCAAAAAGAATAGTAATATGGAGAAACCGAATAGTTTTATTGGATATTATAAGTAACAAGGAGTGGATGCAGTTGCGCCATTGAGAACGAGTTTGAGCCATATCACCAATTGTCTCCAGCCATTGATTCGTACCATCCCGAGGACCCCAACCAGGAAGTTTACATCTCCCTACGTGTCTTAGACTAACTGTTGTGGATTTCATTGATTGATGAGGCCATGTTTTGGTTTGACCACCACTAGCTAACTCTCTTCCAACATGTCAGCTAACATTGTTCGTCGAGGAAGGGGATGGTTAGGCATGCGTAACACACGTCTTCACCATCTCAATCGGTGTAACTTCACAGCCTCGTCGATTGATTTCCCCTCATTACCTAACACTCAACATTGCTCACCTTGTTATACCACCTAACACGGGAGTTAGAACGCAGGCACCTATGATCAAAGACAGCTAGCCAGTTTTTCATGTCTTCTACTTTCAATGGCCATGTCTCACTCGCAGCCATAAAATACGATGCTTTGGACTACTGAGCAGTACACATGTCCTTTGATTGACAGTCGGATATCATGTCTATGCCAGCGATGATGCCGGTTGGTAAGTGCCACACGAACTTTTTGTATCCATGCTGAGGTTACATCAGTAATCACTCCATTAGTGCCGATGCAACTTCCCAAACAAGTAAATTGGTCAACACACTCTACTACTTCACTCCTTATCTTTAAAGCTAGGAGTTGATGTAGTCGATTCCTGTAGCATCATCTTATATTCGACAGGAGAAAATCACATACCAAACATTCGAAGATTTCTTCTTAAGGTGTTTAGAAGACCCAGCCTTTTGTCAGCGTCATCACCTAGAAGGACTATATCATCCGCATATTCTAAGTTAACGAGATTATTCCCTGGTGGTAACAAGTCAATCCCTGAGTCATTGAAGTCAGTTAGGGCTAAGTGCATCAGTACGTCTGTGATGAGATTAAACAGAAATAGTGACAGTGGGCATCATTGACGGACACCATTAGTTGTCACCACTTCAGATGACAACTCTCTGTAGACTCTCCACCTGGTTGCATGAGTTCGTTGATCAGTGCGATGCATCTTCTCGGCATTCCTTTCACGGCCAAACATCGCCATAGTACCTCTCAGTCGATGGAGTTGAATGTCTCCTTGAGGTCAAGAAATATGACAATTGATGGACGCAGGTAAGTATGCCTATGTTCCAGAATCTGTCGGAGGGTGAAGATATGATCAATACACCCTCTTCCTGGTATAAAGCCTGCCTGGCTATCTCGTATTTGTGCCTCCCGAGCACCACTTAGTCTGCGCATGATTATTGAGCCTAGAACTTTAGATAACATATTAGTCAAGCTAATCCCCCTGTGGCTATCACAGTGAGGCATGTCTCCCTTCTTGTACATCGGAATAATCAGTGACTTACACCAACCTGTCGGAACTTCCTCTGATTCTCAGACGCTGCCCAGAACCTCAGTTAATGCAGACAGTAAACTGTCTCCATCATCATTATACACCTCTGGAGTCACTCTGTCAAGTCCCGCTGCTTTGCCTCGTTTCAGACCAGTGACAGCTTTTGTCAACGCAGGGACGGAGGACCTGTGTCTTTGTCCCATTCAGGGAGGTGCTGGATGTTCGGCAGGTTGGGCCTGGCTGTGGGCCAGTTAAACTGCTCCTCAAAGTGTTCTTTCCAACGTTCCAATCGTCTATCCTGAGAGCCAATTAAGGCTCCATTTTACTCGGATATCGTTTCACTTATCGTTCGCCTTTTGCCACCTGTTCCCCTGATAAACCTAAATAGTTGTTTGGTGTTACCAATAGCCGACGCCTTCTCCATTTCTTTCGCTTTCGTCATCCACCACTGTTCACAGTCGTTGCGAAGACTTGATAGTTTGCGTATGAGCAGCTTTCGGTCCTCATTATATTCTGAGCTCGCCGGAATCGGATGAAGTAGTAGAAATCCACTGGCTTTCACTAAATTTTGGTTCTAAGTCATTAACAGCCTTTACGGCCGTGTCTTGGTTCACCGAGGAAGAGGGCTGTCAAGTAGTTGCACCACGGGATGATACTGAATGCTGATCTCATATCGCAAGAGGCAGGGATAGGTGTGTTCGGTTCTTCTGATAACCACTACCCAGTCAACGGGGTACCAATATATGAATGTGCGTCAGTGGTTCAGCTGTAGGATGCTCGCCAAACATGTCTGTGGTTCGGGGTTCGATTCCCGGCCGGCGTACGTCTTTACCTCGCTCAGTCGGTTGTAACCTCAACAAAGCGGGAAGGTTGGGTGTGAGACCAGCAATCCCATCCCATGAAAACATTACTGCTACTGAAGCTTCAAAGCTGAAGTATGAAACCTTATGCTCCAATGGGAACGCAAAAAATAAATTCTAAATTAATTATTAACAGCTATGTCTACAGCTAACCGTATATTGTGCCAGGCTTCCTCAGAGGGAGTCTTGCTGTCCATCTCAGATACGCGTTTCGATAGTTCTTCCGTAAAATAGGGACTCAATGTCCTAATCAAGTTGGCGGCGTAACTGCCTCACTGCCAACAATTTATGTCCGTTTACACGTAAGCATAAACATGCGCGAACCAAGGCGTGATCGGAGTCTACGCACATATACCAGAAGGAGCTGCAGTCTTCTACTGACCCTCACCAAAGATACCCTATCACTGTGTGCTCTATCTGAGTCCAAAGTTGATTTGGTGATAGATGTCGCCAGGTTACGCAATATCTCTCTTTGTCCCTAAGGTCAGTGCTCACTAGGAACAGATGATTACCTGAACAGAACTGTTGAAGACGATCACCGTTATCGGTTTGTGGGCAGGTAACTCCGTACGTACCACCTACATACTTCTCAGTCTGGCATAACTCTCCTCCTTGGACATTGAAGTCGCCTGCTAAAACAACTATATCTGAGCGTTCTTTTCAGCAAACTGGACAGTTTCAAGTAGGTCACCGTTTAGTTCATCCGAACTGCAGTCTGTTGGGGCGTAAGCGGAGACTATGAAAAGACATCAACGGGGAACGCCGTCCTTCCTTCTTCAAACGGACCGCACACATACGTCTATCTACTGGGATCCATTCAAGAAGTGAATTCTGAAATGAAGACGAGTCACCAGTCTGCAGAATAGTAGTGACAGTAGTACGGCAGCAAGATGACAGTGATGTGGATAAAGGAACATAATGCTCAGGAGGGCTTCGTGTGCTTTTGGAAGTATGTGGGAGGCTGTTACTTCTCAGCTGCCGACACCGTGGAAGTTGATTTTCTCTTGAGGTACCCGAAATAGAAAGAATACTAGTGTCTGTAGAGATCAGAGGACAACTGCTTGAGGCCGGCCGCACACGGCTTATTTGAAATGCTTTTGGAGTTATGTCCATGTTAAGAACCTACCACCGGCTACGGAGCGAAGCGAAAAACGTCCAGATGTACAATTTCTGGGTCGATCTTCCCTGACCTGAGGGCGCGGAGGCAGCACGGCTGGCATGCTGGTCATCTGACAGGAACACTACTGTTGCTACATCCCTGTTCCCCAGTAGTAAGAATTCGCTGCCAGCACGGCGTAAACAACCTACACTATGATAGTAACAACTTTTGGTTCAATTGCTATCTAAACAACCTTTCTGGTATGGCAGGGTCTGTAGTAACATTAGTTTCAAATAGTGTGGCTCGATGACTCATTGCGATGTGTGAGCCCGACCACCACCTTAAGGTAGCAGCTATTAGTCAGGATCGATGCATTTGTCTTTGACTTTAAAGTGTGAATGAAAAGATCTCATTGACTTACAGTAGGCATATAATATAGCCCTTCTAGGTAAAGATGCTGCCGAAATGTAGTCTTTTTAACATAAGGAACACATATCTAAATGTTCATTCAAGTGTTGGTTTGCAGGGATTTTATTTGACCAGTTACAGGATTTCATCATGAACTGACATCAGTCAGAGAACCACTTGTAAACCTAGGAGTGCTGATCAGCTGATTCGTCCTAGTTTGGAACTATTCACCAGTACGCACTCACCAGGGTTCGGACCCAGGACCTTCCGGTTCAAAGGCGAGCACGCAGATCATTAAGCCACTGGGACCCGATACAATGGCCCATGAATTCCAACTTCTGCCAATTTGCAATATAGAGCGACCACTAGTCAATACATCGGCTAGGTTTTCAAATGGTTCTCTAACCGATTTCAGTTCATGATGAAATCCTGAGACTAATAAATATGTTTAGCATGCGATTTGTGTTTGTCAAATATAAGACTCGTCCGACCGACTGAGGCAGCTAGGACATCTGCTAAGTATACAGAACCACAGGACTCCTCGGTGATTAATGTTATCGGAAGATGGAATAGGTTGGGTAAGAACCAAGGGTGGTCATGTCAACATATGAAATCATTTCGGAGTCATACGAATAAATGCAAGGTGTTTGACTGGGATCGTCGCAGTTTTAAGAATCACAGGTTAGAGACTTTGTGTTACGACAATAGCGCAAACATATTCACTCATTGACACCTCTAGCATTCTGAACATAAATGAATTATTCTATCAACCGCATGCCTTCGTCCACTACACAGTTTTAATTTTATCATTTTTCTAAACGCGCTTAGCCTTTCTAAAAGTTTTTAGGCTACCAAATAGAATTTACAAATCAAAATCTGGACAAGATACAAGATAATTAGTCTCGTCAACAACTGCGTTAATTTCGATAGAGAAAGGGAACCAAATGTATGAAATATTCATTTATCTCGCTTGATGATGCACAGCATGGTTTTCAAGGAAACCTTGTCCTGCCCCCCAAGACTGGCTGGGATAAAAAAAAAGTAGAACTATAAGTTGTCTTCTTTTTCCACTGTATGAACGAGATACTGCTGACAATCAAGTTATGCTACCTGAACCTTACCGATATTAAACTTTAGGGCGAAAGGGGCCTATGTAATGATAGTGACAGATCTGCTGTGCTACAGCATAATAAATGATGTCTAAAAATTAATACAAGTAAAAATAGAGTTAGGAATTATCTCTCATATGTTTATACAGTTACTCAGTGGACATGCTACTTCTGAAACTGGTTACTGATCATAAGAATCTGGGAGTGGTTGTAAGCCAGGACTCGAAGATCCTAGTAAAATATATAGTAGCAACCGAGAAGGGTTGTAGAATATTACGGGCTCTCCATATATATTAGAATGTGGCTGAAGAGTCAAGGAAAAGGGAGATTCAAATCTCTCAAATAAGGAGTTTTCAGCACTGAGTTACACAGTTCTCGCTTGCCGGGGTAAGAGCCATAGTTGGTGTATGTGGGCTGTTGATACTAACCTGAAGGGGATGATTAAGCCAATGAGTCACATCTCCACAAGGTTGGTTTGGACTTATATTATCCTCAAATCATTACCTGAGAACTGAATTTACATTAGCACTGCGCATTTTATGTAATTATCCAGGTGCTAATTTATTCTACTTATCACCTTTTTAAAGGACTGACCATTTGATATGACTTCAAGGTTCAAAATTACGGTTGGATTAGCGACATCTAGAAATTCTTTCATCGCACCGAAGTGTAAGCTAGTGCAATTCTTCACCGGAACACATTATTTTAGTACCTTCTGTTGATTTATTCCGAGCAAGAGCTTAACATCAAAATGCAGCACATTGATCAATAATAATCCGTTCGAAAAGATTAATGAAGGTCTGAACTTAACCATTATCGAAAATTCGAACAGATACTGAAGCGAATTAATAAATGCCTGAATCTTTTCAGAAGAGAGAAGACAGGAAGAAACACTAGGGAGAGATTAACCTAAGTGAATTGTTAGGAACCCAGCTAGCATTTTTTTCGGGCGCAGTGCAGAATTTTTGGGGCAGACTTCGGGCAAATTGCAGAATTTTTGGCTAACTTAGGGCGCATTGCAGAATTTTTGGGGCAGACTTCGGGCAAATTGCAGAATTTTTGGGCAGACTTAGGGCGCATTGCAGAATTTTTGGGGCAGACTTCGGGACAGTGTCCCACGTAAGTAGATTTACCCGAATTTTTTGCCCCGAAAATTCTGCAATGCGCCCGAAGAAAATGCTAGCTGGGAATTAACGTACTTGCAATACACCAGAAGTTTGAATACAGTACATCAGCATATTTATAGTAGAAAGGGAGGAATGATCGTCAGAGGACCTCAAGGTACTTTGATATTCCTTTTTAGTCAAGAAGACAACTGCATCATCCCTTAAGAATAATAATTATCTGTCCTTTATCCCTAAGGTATCCCTGATGATTTTAAAATTATACATTGGCATTAATGTAGCACGAGAAATATAAGCTGTATACTCCCCACTAAAAACACTGAAACATTAGGTACTATAGTACCTAGGTATACCTACCTGGTATGATGACCTCGGGATTATAGGACAGCACTTTAAATCAACCGCCAAGCAAATTTCCTCGCTGATTGGCTAAAATGGGAAGAATTGTTAATATAACTGTTCAACACTGTGTGATATATCATAATAAAATCTTATCCACAATGGAGTTATACTCTACCACAGTGCCCAAGTTTTATACTTATATCGATGGGAAGAATTGTGTTTTAACGGACTTTTGGATTATATAAATTCCACCTAGGTCACGGTGGAGTGACCTGTAGCGAGTAACTATGGCAAATGGACGTAGCTTTCGAGCTAGCTTGTGAAGCCCTTAGATGCAATGAGGTTCCAGTCGGATGTGCGTTTGTTTACAGAGGAAAAGTAATTGTTACAGGTCGAAATGAAGTATGATTTCTCTTGAGACTTATGTTACATTCAGGTGAATGCAACGAGAGATGCCACTCAGCATGCCGAGATGGTAACAATAAAGCGTTTAGAACAGTGGTGCAAAGAGAATAAAAAAGATTTTAGCCAAGTATTGGCTGATTGCAAGCTGTATGTAACAGTAGAACCATGTATAATGTGCGCCTCTGCGCTGCGTTATTGCCTTCCTACTAATTTTAATAGGTATGTACATTTATTTTGACTTTTCGCTTGGCTAGTGTCATATATGGAGCCTGTAATGAACGTTTTGGAGGCTGTGGTTCAGTTCTTAACGTTCATAATGCTCCTGGGTCAGTTCCTGCGCTGAACTGCATTTCTGGCATTGAGGCCGATAAAGCTGTTGTACTGTTGAAAAAGTTCTATTCACAAGAAAATGAAAATGCACCAGAAGAACTTCGAAAGCGCAAGTGTGTCTCGAAGATTGACTGATAGACTTGTTAAATTTCTGCATAAATAAATTTTATAATCCAGTCCTAGTTCTCTAACATGTTCGTCTCATTCGCTTCATCTCCTTATTGTTCTACATCCTGCTCCAAGTGAAACTTGATTCCGGATTCGATGTGCAATGTTCTAGTGTTAAGTTCACCATAGCATGTAAGTTTATTATACTTTCCATTCACCTATGTATGTGGATATACTCTGAGACGGCAGATTCAAATTAACTCGGTAGAATGTTTCTTTCCATACATTTCAAAATACAAAACGAGAAATCTCTAGTAAGCACAAGTCTCCCATACAAAATAATCCGCTCAAATGTAACAAAAAGATTGGGTATATACTGCAATCGAGATCTAACTTTGCCTAGTTCGCCTAGTAAGGCCGGAAAAGAGGGAAGGTTGAGCATGAGGCTAGCAAGCCGACTCTGTCACCACTACTAAAACTTGGAAGCTCGGAGCTAAATATTCCACTCTTAACGAAAAGAAATAATGTGGTCATTTAGGTAGATTGAAAGTTTTGTGGGTGGAGTTGTCAGTAGGACTTATAACGTTGTTTAACACTTTAATAGTCAGAATACAATTAAGATAATACTTGTTTTCAGCAATTTTTCATAGGATTTTACGATTATGCAACAAAATTATTGAACATAGACATTTGATAACAATGTAGTTAATACATTTAAAGTTCAAACACGTGAATTAATGGATACTAATCCAGATGATCATCATAATTGTAACAGCAATAAATTCATACAAGTGTTAATGTAATCTAAGCAGCCAATCGTTGTGAATGTTCGTCTTTGTAGGAGAACAGCGGGAAAATAACTACTGTCTCATACCTATTTGACAACAGAGTATTTAATTTCATCAAAAGGTGTAAGACAGTTTGATATTTAAGTGATGTCACTGGGATTGGAAACTATTTTCGTTGCATTAAGGCTGAAGGTAAAGCCCATGGCAGGGGGAAACAACTGTGCAAATCTTTTCTATGGACCCACATCAGGTTGAAAAAAATTTGGTGGCAACTGTCTCAATCATCCTTATCAGTCGGTGTATAAACCTACAAAATCGAGTTGGCACCTTGTAACAGACGGTGGAAGCTTCGTTTTTTTCAGTCTTGAGCTCTGTATTCACTAGACGTACCAGCCTATAACTACTGATGATGGACCTTACTATCCCCTTTCCTAACCACTTCGGGCAATGCTCGTAATCAGGGGCAGTTGGGTTAACAAACGTAGTAATATAATTCACTCATATCCGATAGGCCTGTTTTATTACTTAACTTACCGTCCCCTTCGGTTTCACCTATATATCATTCTGTGATGTACGTGAGCTTAATGCCTATTCATCTCGAAGAGTGGGTTTTAGATTTCATTTGTTAGAATTCGAAACAAGCCACTTGGATTTCTTGACTAGTTTAAATAAATAAGTATTATTCGGGTTGGATATACGTTTCAGCCTTCCGGAAATGTGTGTTTTCCTTTACACTACTAAATCAAAACTCGGGTGCATTGTATGAAATACCTAGTGGGTTTTGTATAAATGGAGTATCTCGGACAGATGTGGAAGGCAAGGGGGTATTTGAGCAATATGGTCCCAATGCACTTGATCATACGACCTAACTGTTCAATATGTCTTTAATAACCAATATTTCCGTTTCCGGAAACAGGCGACGATTTTCGCAGTGAACATAAACAGGTCTTCCGATGTAGAAATATGGTTTCGCACTCTTCGATTTACGTCTGTATGATGTTTTATATCGTTCTGATAAGCCTGGAATAAACCCAACTATTTTCATATGTTCATGAATAATTCTCTTCAGTGTTGCTTACAGACAACCTGCTTTTACAGACGTCAGGGATGACATCGTAGTTAGAAAACCTTAATCTAACCGGGAATTAGAGCACTTTTAAGTATTCACCCCTCCTACCAATATTCATGAGGCTTTATATAACCAGTCCCGAGCACTTTACACCCGTGACTTTTTATAATAATGTTTGTCAGAAATAAATGAAAAGGTACGGCTTACTTGTATAAAGATAGGAAAGACTTCATGTAAAGACTGATTACTGAACAAAGAATATTCTTTGCGATAACTTCTTCATCAGGTTCTACAGTCATATATCCATAATGATGGAAGAATTGGGGTTATTAACAACATTAGTGTTTAAATAATATCGAATCAATAGATTACAGTTCAATAGCGTCTGTAAGCGTGACAATATGCGTCAATATAACACTACACTGAATATCATACATATTAGGAAAAACAATACAGAATCCATGAATTTATAGGCTCGATAGAAGGCCAAGGCAGCAGTAATGATCCGACCTGTTTCTTATGCCCACAGAACACCGGATGCTTCAGGCGGATCACAATAGCCTCTGCTTTTGGAGTCTTTGATACCTGAACGCTTTTGGCAACTTATTTGGTACCCGATAGATGATAGAGGAGGTTTCTTCAATGCTTTGTAGCCGATTTGGACCAGGTGGTCTAATATTGAGCTGTTGATGCTTTCCACTATACCTTTATTTAGCCGCACCGGCAGGTGTTCCCGCTCACGAAAGATCAAGTTCCAATACAACTCGCTCCACAAGTGCAGTCGGATTGGGAGATGCAATTAGGTACTTCATCTTTCAATTGGAGAATCACAATTTTAGTTTACCAGCATTAAAAATTCTCTAAATAGATTTTCTTAACTTGTTAGTAGTTATTTCAATTGGTACATCACCCTTGAACTGCAGTCGTACATATAAAGGCTTCTTATTTACAGATAGAGAATAGCCCTTTTCTACTTTCTTGTTCATGTGTTTCCTGGTGAATTTTTCTGGATAGTTATTTTCAGTTATATACAATCAAGTCACTTAAACACTTGTGAATCAGACAAACAGTAAACTTTGGAACAGGCAAAGTTTAATAAACAGGTGAACGATAATCGCTCATAAAAGAACCTCATATTGAATAAATATTGGAAAGTAGAGTAGGTGTTCAATAAAGTCTAGTATTCAATGAAATCATAACTTAAACTACATATTCAACTTAAGACATGCAATTCTATACTCTGATCCTTGCAGTAAGTATTTGCTCATAAACGTTTCATATTATTTGCATTCACACCTTTAAATATAACTGCATGTAGTGTAAGTATTTCCCTTATTTGATATGTGTTTCTATACTCAAGTTAAAAAAGGAATGAATTTTGCTGAGGCATTACGTGATTAAACAGGAGTCACAGCTCGTTTGTTCAAACATCCGCTTATCTAATTTTCACAGTAAACTATCACTAGGCCTTACATAATATGCACGACTTATTCTCTAATATATATATATATATATAATTGTATGTGTGTGGTGGTATTCAATGGCAGAACGCTTGCCAACCACATAGAAGGAATGGTTTCGATTCCCTGGCAGCACACTATCTAACTGTGCCTAGTTCGCCTAGTAAGGCCGGAAAAGAGGGAAGGTTGAGCATGAGGCTAGCAAGCCGACTCTGTCACCACTACTAAAACTTGGAAGCTCGGAGCTAAATATTCCACTCTTAACGAAAAGAAATAATGTGGTCATTTAGGTAGATTGAAAGTTTTGTGGGTGGAGTTGTCAGTAGGACTTATAACGTTGTTTAACACTTTAATAGTCAGAATACAATTAAGATAATACTTGTTTTCAGCAATTTTTCATAGGATTTTACGATTATGCAACAAAATTATTGAACATAGACATTTGATAACAATGTAGTTAATACATTTAAAGTTCAAACACGTGAATTAATGGATACTAATCCAGATGATCATCATAATTGTAACAGCAATAAATTCATACAAGTGTTAATGTAATCTAAGCAGCCAATCGTTGTGAATGTTCGTCTTTGTAGGAGAACAGCGGGAAAATAACTACTGTCTCATACCTATTTGACAACAGAGTATTTAATTTCATCAAAAGGTGTAAGACAGTTTGATATTTAAGTGATGTCACTGGGATTGGAAACTATTTTCGTTGCATTAAGGCTGAAGGTAAAGCCCATGGCAGGGGGAAACAACTGTGCAAATCTTTTCTATGGACCCACATCAGGTTGAAAAAAATTTGGTGGCAACTGTCTCAATCATCCTTATCAGTCGGTGTATAAACCTACAAAATCGAGTTGGCACCTTGTAACAGACGGTGGAAGCTTCGTTTTTTTCAGTCTTGAGCTCTGTATTCACTAGACGTACCAGCCTATAACTACTGATGATGGACCTTACTATCCCCTTTCCTAACCACTTCGGGCAATGCTCGTAATCAGGGGCAGTTGGGTTAACAAACGTAGTAATATAATTCACTCATATCCGATAGGCCTGTTTTATTACTTAACTTACCGTCCCCTTCGGTTTCACCTATATATCATTCTGTGATGTACGTGAGCTTAATGCCTATTCATCTCGAAGAGTGGGTTTTAGATTTCATTTGTTAGAATTCGAAACAAGCCACTTGGATTTCTTGACTAGTTTAAATAAATAAGTATTATTCGGGTTGGATATACGTTTCAGCCTTCCGGAAATGTGTGTTTTCCTTTACACTACTAAATCAAAACTCGGGTGCATTGTATGAAATACCTAGTGGGTTTTGTATAAATGGAGTATCTCGGACAGATGTGGAAGGCAAGGGGGTATTTGAGCAATATGGTCCCAATGCACTTGATCATACGACCTAACTGTTCAATATGTCTTTAATAACCAATATTTCCGTTTCCGGAAACAGGCGACGATTTTCGCAGTGAACATAAACAGGTCTTCCGATGTAGAAATATGGTTTCGCACTCTTCGATTTACGTCTGTATGATGTTTTATATCGTTCTGATAAGCCTGGAATAAACCCAACTATTTTCATATGTTCATGAATAATTCTCTTCAGTGTTGCTTACAGACAACCTGCTTTTACAGACGTCAGGGATGACATCGTAGTTAGAAAACCTTAATCTAACCGGGAATTAGAGCACTTTTAAGTATTCACCCCTCCTACCAATATTCATGAGGCTTTATATAACCAGTCCCGAGCACTTTACACCCGTGACTTTTTATAATAATGTTTGTCAGAAATAAATGAAAAGGTACGGCTTACTTGTATAAAGATAGGAAAGACTTCATGTAAAGACTGATTACTGAACAAAGAATATTCTTTGCGATAACTTCTTCATCAGGTTCTACAGTCATATATCCATAATGATGGAAGAATTGGGGTTATTAACAACATTAGTGTTTAAATAATATCGAATCAATAGATTACAGTTCAATAGCGTCTGTAAGCGTGACAATATGCGTCAATATAACACTACACTGAATATCATACATATTAGGAAAAACAATACAGAATCCATGAATTTATAGGCTCGATAGAAGGCCAAGGCAGCAGTAATGATCCGACCTGTTTCTTATGCCCACAGAACACCGGATGCTTCAGGCGGATCACAATAGCCTCTGCTTTTGGAGTCTTTGATACCTGAACGCTTTTGGCAACTTATTTGGTACCCGATAGATGATAGAGGAGGTTTCTTCAATGCTTTGTAGCCGATTTGGACCAGGTGGTCTAATATTGAGCTGTTGATGCTTTCCACTATACCTTTATTTAGCCGCACCGGCAGGTGTTCCCGCTCACGAAAGATCAAGTTCCAATACAACTCGCTCCACAAGTGCAGTCGGATTGGGAGATGCAATTAGGTACTTCATCTTTCAATTGGAGAATCACAATTTTAGTTTACCAGCATTAAAAATTCTCTAAATAGATTTTCTTAACTTGTTAGTAGTTATTTCAATTGGTACATCACCCTTGAACTGCAGTCGTACATATAAAGGCTTCTTATTTACAGATAGAGAATAGCCCTTTTCTACTTTCTTGTTCATGTGTTTCCTGGTGAATTTTTCTGGATAGTTATTTTCAGTTATATACAATCAAGTCACTTAAACACTTGTGAATCAGACAAACAGTAAACTTTGGAACAGGCAAAGTTTAATAAACAGGTGAACGATAATCGCTCATAAAAGAACCTCATATTGAATAAATATTGGAAAGTAGAGTAGGTGTTCAATAAAGTCTAGTATTCAATGAAATCATAACTTAAACTACATATTCAACTTAAGACATGCAATTCTATACTCTGATCCTTGCAGTAAGTATTTGCTCATAAACGTTTCATATTATTTGCATTCACACCTTTAAATATAACTGCATGTAGTGTAAGTATTTCCCTTATTTGATATGTGTTTCTATACTCAAGTTAAAAAAGGAATGAATTTTGCTGAGGCATTACGTGATTAAACAGGAGTCACAGCTCGTTTGTTCAAACATCCGCTTATCTAATTTTCACAGTAAACTATCACTAGGCCTTACATAATATGCACGACTTATTCTCTAATATATATATATATATATATATATATATATATATATATATATATATATATATATATATATAATTGTATGTGTGTGGTGGTATTCAATGGCAGAACGCTTGCCAACCACATAGAAGGAATGGTTTCGATTCCCTGGCAGCACACTATCTAACTGTGCCTAGTTCGCCTAGTAAGGCCGGAAAAGAGGGAAGTTTGAGCATGAGGCTAGCAAGCCGACTCTGTCACCACTACTAAAACTTGGAAGCTCGGAGCTAAATATTCCACTCTTAACGAAAAGAAATAATGTGGTCATTTAGGTAGATTGAAAGTTTTGTGGGTGGAGTTGTCAGTAGGACTTATAACGTTGTTTAACACTTTAATAGTCAGAATACAATTAAGATAATACTTGTTTTCAGCAATTTTTCATAGGATTTTACGATTATGCAACAAAATTATTGAACATAGACATTTGATAACAATGTAGTTAATACATTTAAAGTTCAAACACGTGAATTAATGGATACTAATCCAGATGATCATCATAATTGTAACAGCAATAAATTCATACAAGTGTTAATGTAATCTAAGCAGCCAATCGTTGTGAATGTTCGTCTTTGTAGGAGAACAGCGGGAAAATAACTACTGTCTCATACCTATTTGACAACAGAGTATTTAATTTCATCAAAAGGTGTAAGACAGTTTGATATTTAAGTGATGTCACTGGGATTGGAAACTATTTTCGTTGCATTAAGGCTGAAGGTAAAGCCCATGGCAGGGGGAAACAACTGTGCAAATCTTTTCTATGGACCCACATCAGGTTGAAAAAAATTTGGTGGCAACTGTCTCAATCATCCTTATCAGTCGGTGTATAAACCTACAAAATCGAGTTGGCACCTTGTAACAGACGGTGGAAGCTTCGTTTTTTTCAGTCTTGAGCTCTGTATTCACTAGACGTACCAGCCTATAACTACTGATGATGGACCTTACTATCCCCTTTCCTAACCACTTCGGGCAATGCTCGTAATCAGGGGCAGTTGGGTTAACAAACGTAGTAATATAATTCACTCATATCCGATAGGCCTGTTTTATTACTTAACTTACCGTCCCCTTCGGTTTCACCTATATATCATTCTGTGATGTACGTGAGCTTAATGCCTATTCATCTCGAAGAGTGGGTTTTAGATTTCATTTGTTAGAATTCGAAACAAGCCACTTGGATTTCTTGACTAGTTTAAATAAATAAGTATTATTCGGGTTGGATATACGTTTCAGCCTTCCGGAAATGTGTGTTTTCCTTTACACTACTAAATCAAAACTCGGGTGCATTGTATGAAATACCTAGTGGGTTTTGTATAAATGGAGTATCTCGGACAGATGTGGAAGGCAAGGGGGTATTTGAGCAATATGGTCCCAATGCACTTGATCATACGACCTAACTGTTCAATATGTCTTTAATAACCAATATTTCCGTTTCCGGAAACAGGCGACGATTTTCGCAGTGAACATAAACAGGTCTTCCGATGTAGAAATATGGTTTCGCACTCTTCGATTTACGTCTGTATGATGTTTTATATCGTTCTGATAAGCCTGGAATAAACCCAACTATTTTCATATGTTCATGAATAATTCTCTTCAGTGTTGCTTACAGACAACCTGCTTTTACAGACGTCAGGGATGACATCGTAGTTAGAAAACCTTAATCTAACCGGGAATTAGAGCACTTTTAAGTATTCACCCCTCCTACCAATATTCATGAGGCTTTATATAACC